ACGTCTGTATCATAAGTTTATATAATGATAGAACCACAATGGAATGCGGCGAAATCGACTTCACGCTTTCCTTCGTGATTGACAGGAATGTTGTTATCGGAAATCACGTCGTACAAGTGTTGAAAGGTAGCCTGGAGGGCTCTCGTTAGAACCAAGTATCTAGGTACTTGCGTGCCAGCCAATGTGCACAGCTGATCATGTGGCCTCCCCAGGCCATTCTTTAACCCACTCGACTAACTGCTTCAACACTCGATCCTGCACCTCTTTCACTCCCGCGTTGACCTTTCCGTTCTTCGTATTCAAGTCACTAGTGTGAACACCGTCAGGCACAATTTCCACTGGTACCTGCTTGGTACTCTGCAACGGACCTCCGGGTCTCCCTTTTGCCGAAACACTGATCTCTCTCCACGGGTCGAATTCGCCGTTGACGAAGATCAGCCGGCTTGTGTTGGTGATATTCCAGCCTCCAAAGTACGTATTGAAGTGCTCTTCGGTTCTCCCCGCTGCGAGACCATATGTTTCTCCATTCGGTCCAGGGGGGAAATATAGTCCGCACTGACGAACCCAGTAGTCTGTTGTTATGAGGCGAGAAATGAGCGATGGCCGTCCTGAGGGAGCGCCGACTTTCCAGTTTCCGAAGGGTTCGTTGCAGTTCATCCAGAACCATTGCCGGTTCATGGCGTTCCTCGGCGTCGTGTCGGTGAATAGTGGGGAGCTTGCATTGTAGGTATTGAAGCAGTCAGTATTACCTGTAGTGTTGAACTCAGGATAAAGATCCCCGGCGCAGTAACCGGGGAGTTCGACCTCTTTCCACCATTCCGCGTATCCTTCGAGCGCCTTATCGACACCAACACCCGCTTCAGACGGAAGATCGTTGAGGGTGGCATTGACTGCGTTTTCAATATAGTCGCAGAACGTGAAGAAGCCCGTGTTGTAGGTGAACTGATTCCCTAGCCAAAGATAGGGACCACGCGCCAGAGCGTTCATGAAGTCGTCGTTGTGAGCGACGTCTTGCATGCCAAATTTGGCCTTGAGTTCGTGTTGCTCATCCCGAGAGCCAGCGCTGAGGATATCATCCATATGGTCGATGACAAGAGAGATGTCTCTACTACAATTCTTCGGCATAGCTTCTTGTATAGGAAGGAAGTAGGCCCAATAGTCAGAAACAGATTGAACTGATGCACTCGAAGCGTAGTAGGCCCATATAGTGCCCGGGTCGAGGCTTGCAATCCACACTAGCAGGGCAGCGAAGTAGCTACCTCCTATAGCTACCCATGGAACATCTTTGGCACTACTGCCAATTCTCTCGTCGGTAGCGAAAGGTAATTGGACTTGACGTGCGAAATATGTTATATCCTTCATGCTGTTCTCGACAGTAAGGTACTTCAGGTTTTCAGTGGTGAAGTTACGGAATGGTGTGCTATCGCCCCAGTAACGATGTTCGAGAACAATTGTAGCTGCGCCAATCTGCTCAGCCAGGGCTCCTGTTGCATGGCTGGGGGTTAAGAAGCTGTGGTACATAGTAGCATTGACTTCTCCGGGCGAAAACAGTATCACCGGCGAACCGGGACCCCTCCAGTACGTTGTGTCGTAGTAGTAGAACTGGTCAAAAGTCCCCAGGCTAGGGTTGTTGTGGTCTATCAACTGTTTGAAAGTGCTGTTGTCGTAATAGTGTTTCTTCGGCGGCGGTTCGCTGCCTCTCACGGGTGGAGTACAACCCCAGCCTTAATCGGACGTTAATATATCCAGTTTGTACTCTACCCATGTAAAGACTTACCTCCATAAGGACCGCAGTCATACCAGTCCTCGCCATGAGATTTGTCGGCATACCCGATATGAACGTGGTCTTTCTGAGCTTCAGTGGGAATCGAGAGAGCGGCTAAAACCCACAGTCCTTTCATGTTAGGCAAGATAGATGGAACAATTACAAAGTCTACTGGATGTTGCAATCAGCTGTAAGATTATTATAATCACTCTATGTACGTCAGCTGCATCTATGTGCCGAGTGCAGCCCGAATAGATGAGGTACCTAACGAATCGACAAGACAAGACTGCTGTTTTGCTTTCGTGGACCAGCCCCAGGTCTAAATTCGCCTATGAAAGACCCCCACGACGACAATACATGTCTATTTCTCCGATGTGCACACCCTGTTGCGTTGTGTAATGATCGACGATGTCCCTAGGCAACTGAACGTCGCTCAGCACCCGGGCAGGTATTGTGGGCCACGCTCGCCTCATCTACAGAACTATCTTTGTTCATACTGCGGATCCGATCGATATCGAAATGCGTTTGACACCTGCTCGAGATCGCGCTCAGCTCCGTCTTCCAAGTCAGCGATCAAGAGAACGGCCCGTAGCGCTTATGTGGACGGCTCGTATAGTTCTAGGAAGAGGGGTAATGCGAGAGGTTCCTACATAGGCCCGAATTTTGCTTAGACGGTCGCAAGAAAACCCGAGGTGGCTGCAGAAAGCTTCCCGCGTCACCCTGCTGTTGGGAGTTTGGAGGTTGTCGGCCCGGGCCCAGGAGACGGGGCCCGTGGCTTGGCAGCGTTCTGATCGGCCGCTCACGCTTACGCGCACGGACACAAACATCGAAGCTTCACGTGCGCAGAAATCCTCAGAGGTTTTCATGTCTCATCGAATGGCTCAACTTGTTTCGAGGCCCAGATTAAGTACAATATCATCATTGCTAAAATAGGTAGCATACACAGCTTCAGACCTCGGGATCATGTGCTACGCGGCAATGCGGCTGCCTTGGGCATGGCTTCTATACCCCAGCCCGTACTGATCTCAATATCTCTTAATGCAGAGTAACCTTCTCCTAATTTAGGCATTTGGCGGCTGATCGTATGTGACGAACTATACCACTTTCTTCCTCGAATATTCTCCCAAAAGACTACTCATAATCGTCCCGCTCGCATAGCACGTGTCTTCTTTCATCCACTACTCTTGCATACTCTAACAATAGCCGTAGCCAGTATAGCTCCATATCTGCCTTACGGAGAACTCGGCGGCTCCAGATGGCCGCGCCCTCGCCAATTGCTGCGGCATGCCTGTCGTGATTCTCACAACTCTTCCCTCGACAACATCCGCCGATAAAGAAGCAGAGTTTGTGCCAAAGATCGGGAAGACTGCCGAGGTCAAAGGGGACGAAATGTTTGTACGGTACGAGCCGCGAGCGGTGCCATTCTTCGAAGATAGTGGCCTTCAACACTAGGGAGCCCGTCATGAGCAATGCACGGAAACGAGCTACAACTGATGTTATGCCACATATCATCATTTGTGAGAACAAGAGTGCCTACCACTGTACGCATTGCCATCAATGTCTGGTAGGTACTTGTAAGTGGCCATGTCAGCCATAGATGTATGCGCTGCAGTTCGGAAATGGTGATCAAGGTAGCTGCAGGCATCCCCGACGTCCCAGCCTCGCCCAGCGCAGCGCAGTTTTGTAAAAGCACCGTCCAGATGCTCGTGCATCCATTTAAAGTGCGGTGGTTCGGGTGCTGCTTGATTCAGAGAAGCATTGGCCCAGTCGATCTGACCACTGCTAATAGCCTCGAGAAAAGTGGAGTTCATTGACGCAACAAATCGATGGCGATGAGACTTCATCCAGGTCAAGGAATTATGTCTGCCACCGGTATTGGAGCCACGCCAGATAGCCTGCAGAGACGAACATACGAAGTCAGTATATGTCTCATATGCATCTGATACAGCCAAAACTTACCTTGTTGCGCTTCTCTGACCACGCCACACTAATAGACGAGTTGACCAGATGTTCGGGGAGGGTAAAGCTTGGTATATCCGCCCAGGTATGGAGGTCAGGAACCGTGATCTCGGCGCTCATGTGTCGTATGTGCGTTGCCGAGAAAATAGGAAGAAGGGTCGACGATGTCGACACAAGGTGAGGCGCTAGCATCGTGCCGTGAACAGCAGCCAACTCTGGTCGATTGCACACATCCTGAACAGCAGAATCCAAAAGCGGTACGTGATTGGTTGACGCGTTTCTTGGAGGGCAGACAATGCTGCGGAAAGAGTATGGAGGGACTTCTACGTGTAGTCCAAACTTTAGCTGGCGAAGCTTCGCATATGACGGTACCGCAGCTTACCTTGATTCTACCCTTTCACGACGTCTTCCGTTCTAGCATAAAGTGCTTTGCTAACACCTCTATGAATATGACTTTGCGCGCCTGCTGAGCGTGACACTAATCGACTATGCTGGCGTGCCTGCTGTCGGGCTCTCTCTATGACGTCCCAAGGAACGAGCACACGAGGCGAGGCATGCACACTTACAGCCACGTCGATGTCTGGTAGCAACGGAGCGATTCTTCTGAGCAATCCTAGTTGATTGTTACAGGTTATATCTTCTCTTGGGCAGTTGGCTCGGACTTCTCTACGTTGGAATGAGAAACTCTGGAGCTGTTCGATTTTCTTTTGAAGCCCGGCGAGAGAGACTAGCGAGGCCGCAGCAGTTTGCGTGGCCTGTGCTGTGATGCCCTAGAATAGCTCTAAGTTGTTATAGATTTGATCCCAGAATGGCTCAATTGATACCTCTTTTAACTGTTGGAGACGCTTATGAAAAGCCTGGAAGCCTGGAGGTGGACATCGTGCGCGTTGGTGCCGATATGATTCTACCGCCTGTGCGTATATGTGCGTTTCTTGAACCGCTAAAGACTGGAAGTAGTTCTTAGCATTGTTGATTGAACGCTTAAGAGGATGCAAAGGAGTACGTGTTCTTAGATACGTGATAGACAAACTATATGTTGCAATTACAAGAAAAGCACACGCTAGAAGTCGGTAGTGTTGCATGTTCGTAGCGAGTATAGGCACGGTAAAATGTTTAGTGTGGAAAGAAAAACATTTAGATTTATTCTTATCCTTTTATTTAGAACCAAGTCGCCTTGTCCTCGACTCTTCCTTCGTCCACTAGAGCGGCCCGATTATTTCCTGCTCTCTAACCTCTTTAGCGCGGGAGCTGGTCCATGATTCTTGAATAGATTAACTTAGGTCTCACGCTTCTCCGATCTAGCGTCCGGCGCGGGAGCTGGTCCGTCATCCTTGAACAGATCGATGTAGGTGTTACGCTTCTTCGACCTAGCGTCCGGCGCGGGAGCTGGCCTATCGTCTTTGAACAGATCGATGTAAGTGTTACGCTTCTCCGACCTAGCGTCCGGCGCAGGAGCTGGTCTATCGTCTTTGAACAGATCGATATAGGTGTTACGCTTCCCTGAATTGGCCCTTTCAGAGCGTTTGTAGGCGCTACTACTCTCTTCTGGCGCAGGAGCTGGCCTGTTATCCTTAAAAAGATCTACGTAGGTGTTGCGCTTCTTAACGTCTTTCAATTCTTCTGCATAAGCTTTGACGCTTAGTACTGTTACTTTCTTATCTGTAGGTTAGAGAAGAACATACGCGAAGCGGTCGCTGCTGACAAGCCGGCCAACGCGACGAGAATAATTAAGCTCTTGTGCATCTTGAAAACTGTGCGTAAACGAGAAGATAATAATTGCTTATGAAGATCTGTCTTAGACAATACAAGGCGTTTGTAGGGCGAAAGATAATTATTCTGTAGGGTTTCTGCTTAGCTATTTGTACATCGCTCTCTACTAGTAAAGACATCAATAATCGAACACTTACCTGGTGATAGAGCTGCTCTCCTGCATTGTGACGCGGCCTGTTAAACTTACGAAAGAGCTGACTAAGCAACAACGCATATCTTGAAAGCTTAAAGAAGTGCCATAAACCTGTACTTACTATGCTAGTTTACTATGCGATAACTATCCCTACTTAATAGGTAGTTTGATAGTAGTCAGCTGAGCCGTGTCTTGATTGAACATGATTGAACATTAATTGTAAGGTTTGTCACTTGCATAGTGTATAGTGAGGCTACCAATAGGACGTATAGGAGAGTGAGCAGAATAATGACGTATCTTAAGCTTACCGCCGAACTGCATACTGAACCTGAACTGCCGTGTTGTGACTACCTAGGTACCCCCACTCATTCGTTGGGATCTGTCAAGGTGCCTTCTGACCGAATCGGATACTTCGAAAGTGAAGCTATCGTCTATGACGGAATTATACTGCATTCATTTGGTGGGCGCTAATCGCTCCTATACAATCGATGTAACTAGATAGACTGAAGCTCCAGCTAATTTGACGACACTTCAGACGGGTATACCAACTTGGTTCGCCTCTCTTCCAAGTCAGCATTGAGCATGAACATCTCACCGCAATGTCTGATATGTCCCTCATCCGATGCGGTCATATGCATCACAATGCCTGTGAATTGCTGTCGGAACTGCTTCCTCCACGAGAAGATGCAATGCACAACATGCTGCTCGTAGGTAAACCATATGGTCCTCCCGGGCTCGATGAGCATCGATAGCTCGGTCCCGTTGATAAGACGGTACTTGCCATCCAGCTCCGTCTGGTATAGCCAGGCGCCCCCCTTGTCAGAACGAGAGGCTGTCGTGAACTCATGCGTGAGATCGAAGTCAATGCATTCCGGTCTCAACCAACATAACTCAATCTCATCGAACTGGCAGTTCCGCGAAATTCCCTCGGCAGTTGTGAATCCGCACAGGCATGGGGCGTCATCCCGTGTCAGCGTTTCGATCGCTTGGGCTCCGACCGCGTAAGCTCCGCATATAGCCAGGGTAGCAACGAGAACGGCAGCAGCTGTTCGTAGGATGAGGTTCTTCCGTGGCTTGGATGTGTCCTTGCTGCTCTTTGGGTAGAGTGAGGTAAGGCCGATTCGCTCCTCTATGATGCTTTCAGATTCGGCTTCCGCGCCCATGCTCGACTGTTGGAGAACAGTCATGAAGCGTTGGGACATTGATCCTGTATACTTATGATTAAGCTGAGTCCTGGCTCCGCATTCGTTCCGTGTGGGTTGGTACCTTTCTTCCTGTTTCACGGGTTAAAAAGAGAAAATTGGTATGCTTCACAAGAGAGAAGAGTATGAGCGTGTACGTAAAGACTGCACAATAGTATCGTGTGGTTCCAGTGGTGATGTTGTTATCTTCGGTCGATCTTCTTGTAGTTGGCTTCAGCTGACATAATATCCAGGAAACAATTAAGTTTGACTAGAAAACGCGCAATCTTCGGCTTCGGACTCGGAACTCAACTTCAACAATTCTAAAGTGGTACCTAGGTAGCTTTCGACAGGCCCGCGGATGTGCCGAAGCAGGACCGTACCTACGGAGCCTGCATGCAGTACCCCTCAGTGATGATGCTCCGAAGGCTCCGTCCCGCGATGTCGTTCGTAAGTATCTCATTGTGATGCTCGTTGCCGTTGATGCCCCCAAAAGCGCGCAGCGGGTTCAGCTATCTCCCGATGACTTTGTATGCCGAAGGCGTTGCACGTAATAGATTCTCACACTTTCTCAGTGCTTACCCAGCAACATGAATCACTCATCGCGTAGAACGCCTCGAAGTGAAGACCCCGAAGAGTCAGAGGGGCTTTTGCCATCCACAGTTCCAAGCGGTGAAGCTCGCACCAAATCCGCCCTCCCACTGCTTTGCTCATGCCTGAGGTACGCTGTGGTGGCTATCTTGTTCTTCGTCTTTGGCTTGATATCCAACAGTGGATACCTGCGCAATGAACGGGGCTCATCTGGTACGTGGTCTTCCTGTCGCTGAATACATGACTAACACAGTATGATATAGAGCCATCGTTCTTGGAAGAGATCGATCGCAGCACTCACCCCAACCATACCAACGTTCCTGTCTTCGCAGGAAGTAACGGAACCATCTGGCAGCAACCGCCAAGTCCAGAAGTTGACGCAGCATGGCATGCGCTAACCTCCGGTTATCCATTCTTGATAACAGAGGACGACATGCGCATCCTTGGCAAAGATCCAGAACGCTATATCAGTGTCCCCCAAAGCTTCGGCTATGGCGAAAAGAAGTTCATCACCCGATTCGCGCATCCACATAACATTCACTGCCTCGACCACATCCGGAAGCGCCTTTACCGTAATTATTACGGATACCCAAAGTATGTTGTAGCCGCACAAATTGAATGTGAGATATACACTGACTCGGTATCTTCACATTTGTAGCGATACAATGGATTGGATCCATACCGAGCACTGTCTCCACGCCTTGGTGGATCATTTGACGTGCTACGTCCAGTACGATGTTCTCAACTACATGTGGGTCGAAGGAGAGCCAGCGGCGGAACCTGAGCTTACCTACAATCGTCAATGTCAAGATCTGGACGCGCTGCTACGCTGGAGCAAGGATAACCGTGTCGACAAAGATTTGCGAGTATACTACATTCAGCCGGCTGCGGGTGATAAGATCTTTCCTGCGGATGCAGATTTCCGCAATATCGAAAAGGAGTACGACCAGAACAACCCCGACCGACCGTCAATGGAGGATCGACGGAAGACGTACCAGAAAGCCTACCAAGATGCGATAAGTTATTGGGAAACGACAGGAGAAGAACCGATCGAGGAACGACCATGGTAGTAGATGTTACTTCTATCACCTGAAGATACCGAAGCGCACAAGGGGATTTGGTTTCATAGATATCGCCATCGGACGAAATTGAGATATGCACTGTTAGTATGGAGGTAGTGTTTCGTCACTTATACGGTATGGGCACTTTATTCACACATCCCTACTGTGTGGTGCGATCTACTCAGGCATCACCTCCAGTCAGCCATCGGGAATACGAGTATGAGGTGGTGTGATCGCCAAATCCCGAGTTATCAGCACTGGCGATATCTAGTCAGCTCTGATGTAGCATCCAGCTTGGCCCATTATTTCATTAGCACTTGAATGAATTGCCTCTACTCTCTCTTTCAGGTGAATGATATCGTAGGTGGATGCAGTTCAGTACAAGCTCTGCTTATTGCATGCGGCACACGATATGCGGCGTGCGACATGCGTCATGCGGACGACACCGGGTTCCGCCGATTCGACCGCGGAACATCGTGCGCTGCGATCGCGCAAGCTGAAGAGCGTCTGCCCAAGCGAATTTGGGCGTGCGCGCATAGCGAAAGAATCGGACAATGAGACAAGCCGCTCTTCCTATGCTGTTGTTGCCTGGTGGGCCCGGCCAGTACCGAGCGAGTTGCATGACGACTTGGATGCATCTACGGCCTTAACGTCGACGATGGCTATCTCCGGTCTGGCCCAACTTTTCGCCGACTACATGAAATGCGGCCGAGGGTGGGCGCGCATTGTTTTCCTCTTTCGCGAATACAATATAGCTCCTATTTAGGCCGCTTGAGTTAGTCTAGACGCGTGTATATATCCAATGTCTCGCCTGTCGCTTCCGTCTCGCATCATACGAAGGCTACTCAGTGAATCGCGAAACTACCAGGTTTGGGGGAAACGTCAGCCCTTTTGGCAAAAACCACACTTTGCTCGGACGCTCAAGATGAGTTCAATAGGTGGTGCAAGTATTGGCGTAGGTCTTTACGCCGTGGTAAGCAATCCAGCACAGATTGCTGCGAAACCCGAGGAAGCCGATGAAAAGAGACATCACCTGAAGAACGGCAAGGGGTTTACGAACCCGTGGGATAGCTATATCGAGTCAAGTGCTTGGGAACTGCAAATCAAGGGTATGCTCTGGTAAGTCCGGCATACGGGAATTTTACGAAGACTTTACAAGTTGCGAACTAACACTCCGTGGTAGGCGCAAGATTACCGGTCAAGCCCACAATCCAGACACCTCGCCACCGACAGTACCAGTCCACAAACCAATGTTCCTTCCCTCCCGAGAGACACCACGACTTCGTGCAACATGGCTCGGTCACGCATGCTACTATATAGAGTTCCCGAGCGGCTTTCGTGTTCTCTTTGACCCTGTCTTTGAAGAATGCTGTGCACCGTTCACTATAAAGAGCCTTAAACGCTACACGCCCCCTCCATGTGAGATTGAAGATCTACCAATTGTCGACGCAGTAGTTATAAGCCACAATCACTACGATCACTTAAGCTACCCAACAATCCAGCGCTTGAAAAAGAAATTCCCCGAGGCGCATTTCTTTGCGCCCCTGGGAAATAAAGAGTGGTTTGAGAAGAGCGGGGTTACGAAAGTCACAGAATTGGATTGGTGGGAGAGTAGAGATGTCAAGTTGGAGGAATTGTCGCAAAAGGGGGGTAGGGCTGGCTCTGTTTCTGTGAGTTCGGTGGAAATGGGCAAGACTAGTGGTATTACAGCAACGATTGGTGCGCTGCCTTGTCAGCATATCAGTGCAAGGACGCCCTTCGACAAGGCCAAGACGCTTTGGGCAAGCTGGAGTGTAGAATCTGGCGGAGCGAAGGTCTACTTTGCTGGGTACGTCTGCTTTGTACCACACTCATGACTCATTCTTTATGCTGACCCTACCCAGTGACACAGGCTACCGCACGGTTCCGGCTAGCATTCCAACCACAGAAGACGACTACTCGGCTGCGTACTCGCACTTACCCACTTGCCCGGCTTTCTCACAGATCGGTCAACATCGCGGCCCCTTC